GTTCCCGGCGGTGACCAGGTTGACGGTTCACCGCCGGCGCCAGTTTCGGTGACTTTTGCTTGGTAACTCGTAGAGCTTCCCTTAGCTAGTTATAGCTGGAAGCTAAGAGTAATTCCGGCGCGCCCCACAGCTAGTTGGCTCGAAAAAAAAGAACTGAACTTTTCACAACTTACCTCGTAGAGCTCTTCGGCATCGATGAGCTAGAGGAATTCGGGCGCGGGGTGGAGCTAGTTGGTCGAAAAATACAATTTTAAGAAACGACAATGTGGCACACTTTTGGGTGGTTTTGCGATTTTTATGAAAGTAATAGACCATTTATTCAGAAAAAAAAAAAAAAAAAAAAGAAAAAATAGAAAAAACCAGATTATTTTTCGCACCTGTAAACGATTATGAGGGCCTCAGCATCTTAATATGAGCTCCGTACATGGACTTTCACTATCGAAACACTTGGCGGAACCAACTCTATCTCGACATGAAAAAAATCATGTTTTTTGATTTCCGAGAAATTCTTCCAGAAGCCCTCTCTTTTGCTAGTGAGCGCTCTTACGCGTGTTAGGAGCTCTACGAGGTTCCCGGCGGTGACCAGGTTGACGGTTCACCGCCGGCGCCAGTTGGCTCGAAAAATCTCGACGGAACTTTTGATGACTTTTGCTCGGTTGAAAATTTGGTTCTCGAAATTTGACCATTCGTTAGAGCTCTAGTATTTTTTCCCGTGATATTCGATCTTATTCCCACTCGCCATCTTGATCTCAGCTCGATCGGGTAACTTTGAAGGCCAGAAAGCACACTGGCGGGAACGGCGGGTTCGAGTCATCTTGATACGCGCTGTCGCTATTTTGTTCTTAACTCGAGCTTGAGGACAGCTACAGAGCTGGTAAGCACAGCTATCGCACTCAGAATCATCAGGCGCGTTCGGCTGTTGAATCCAGAGGTCTGAACTCGGTCTGCCAGCCGAGCTAGGCCCGCAAACCTATTTGTATTCTTTGAGTCAACTTGATACGCGTTGTCGGTATTTTCTACTGAACTCGGCTGTAGGCAGCTACAGTGCTGGTAAGCACGCCTATCGCACTCAGAATTATCAGGCGCGTTCGCCTGTCGACTCCATAGGTCTGAACTCGGTCTGCTAGTCGAGCTAGGTCCGCAAACCTATTCGTATTATTCGAGTCAACCTGATACGTGTTGTCGGTGTTTTCTGCTTAACTCGAGCTGTAGGGCAGCTACAGTGCTGGTTAGCACAGCTATCGCACTCAGAATCATCAGGCGCGTTCGCCTGACGAATACATAGGTTTGAACTCGGTCTGCTAGCCGAGCTACGTGCGCAAACCTATTCGTATTATCCGATTCAACTTGATACGCGTGGTGGGTATTTTGTACTTATTCCGAGCTGCAGGGCAGCTACAGTGCTGGTAAGCACGCCTATCGCACTCAGAATCATCAGGGGTGTTCGTCCGCCTGTTGGATCCAGAGCTCGGAACTCGGTCTGCTGTCCAAATTAGATCGGCACAACTTCTATATTGTTCGAGTCATTCTCAAAAGTGCTGTCGGTTTTCTGCACCTAACTCGGGCCTGTAGGGGGGCGGCAGCGCTGGTGACAGAAGTCGATTCGAAGACATCAGACGCGTCCACCTGTCGCATTCAGAGGTCAACAAATATTTACTATAAGTCGGAATGTTGGATGCGCGGTTTTCTCAACTAACATCAAGGTAGGAAGCTCTACGAGTCCCCGGCGGTAACAAAGGTTGACGGTTTACCGCCGGCGCCCAGTTGGAAATACCTCGAAGAGCTCTGATGGTATGAGAGATAGAGGAATTCGGCGACAGGGTGGAGCTATTCGGCGAAATTTCGAGACGAGACACAATCATCCATCCGCGGCCTGGCTCAGCAGATTTTCAAGCTCTAAGCATTCGTTTGGGCTGATAATTGCGTAAAACAAAGCTTTGCAGCAGAAAAGTTGCCCGTCAAATTCTCAGTTCATTTCGTCGAGAAATTCTTCTGAGCGAAGCGAGAAACCAGACTTCAGATTGCAATAAAAAACATTGAAAAATTAAATATTCAAGCAGAACTATTGCGAAGTTCTCTGCTTCGATCTGAGACGCGCCGGTATTACTCTTAGCTTCCAGCAGAACTTGCTAAGGGAAGCTCAACGAGTTACTTGGTAGCGTCCACTTGGTAGCGTCCAAAACTGGACGCCCGCGGTGAACCGTGAACCTTGTTACCGCCGGGAGACTCGTAGAGCTTCCAGCTCGACTGAAGATGAGCACTGAGCACCTACTAACATTCCGACTTATAGTAAATATGTTCGGACCTCTGAATGCGATAGGCGGGCGCGTCTGATGTCTGCGAGTCGACTCCTCTCATGACCAGCCTTGCAGCCCTCCTACAGCCCGAGTTGAGTGCAGAAAACTGACAGCACCTCTCAGGATGACTCCTACAATACAGTAGTTTTCGCAGACCTAAGTCGGGCAGCACACCGAGTTCCGAGCTCTTGATTCGACAGACGGACGCGTCTCATGTCTTGGAATCGATTCCTCTCACCACCAGCACTGTAGCTCTTCTCAGAGCGAGTTGAATGGGGGCAACCGAGAGCACTTCTGAAGATAGTTCGACCAATACGAATAGTTTCGCAGACCGAGTTCAGATTCTGTAAAAAATCAGCTCTGTAGTTGTCCTACAGCTCGAGTTAAGTGCAGAAAACGGAGAGTGCTCTGAAGATGACTCGAATAATACGAATAGGTTTGCGGACCTAGCTCGGCTAACAGACCGAGTTCAGACCTCTCGATTCAACAGACAAGCGCAACTGATGATTCTCAATCAGTTCTTGTAAATTCAGCTCTGTAGCTGTTCTACAGCTCGAGTTAAGTGCAAAAAATCGAGAGTTTCTCTCAGAATGACTTCAATAATACGAATAGGTTTGCGAACCTAGCCTGTGCTTACCAGCTCTGTAGCTGTCCTGAAGCTCGAGTTATGTTTAGAAAACCGTCATCGCGTGCCAAGATGACTCGAAACGGCCGCGGGAATAAGATCGAATATCACGGCAAAAAATACTGGAGCTCTAACGAATGCTTGAATTTCGAGAAAAAAAAAACTGGCGCCGGCGGTGAACCGTCAACATGCTCACCGCCGAGAACCTCGTAGAGTTCCTTTCCCTTAAGAGCGCCCATAGAGCTACATGGCTCGTACCGAAAACAATCTAAACACAGGGGGCGTTCGGCTGTTGCATCCGAGAGGTTTCGAATTGCCTGGGCTGAAAAACTATTTTTCTCTGCAATCTCTTTCGCCATTATATGTTGTCAGGAAGCTCTACGAGTCTCCCGGCGGTGAGAAAGATAGACGAGTTAGCTAGTTGGCAAGAAAAATCTCGACTGAACTTTCGACAGCTTTTGGTGGGTTGAAAAATTTGTTTTCGAAATTCAACAATTCGTTTGTGCTCTAGTATTTTTACCCGTGATATTCGATCTTATTCCCGCTCGCCATCTCCATCTCAGCTCGATCGGGTGAATATTACTATCGAAAAGCACTGTGGCGGGATCGGCCGTTTCGAGTCATCTTGATACGCGCTGACGGTTTTCTGAACATAACTCGAGCTTTAGGACAGCTACAGAGGCGGTATGATCAGGCGCGTTCGTCTATTGAACCCAGAGGTCTGAACTCGGTCTGTTAGCCGAGCTAAGTCCGTATTATTCGAGTCGTCTTGACGGAAACTCTCGGTTTTCTGTACTTAACTCGAGCTGTAGGACAGACAGAGCTGATATTCACAGGAAACGATTCAGAATCATCAGTTGCGTTTGTCTGTCGAATCCAGAGCTCTGAAATCGGTCTGCTGCCTGATCTAGAATCGCGAAACTATTCGTATTGGTCGAGTCATCTTGAGAAGTATTCTTGGTTTTCTTCAGTCAACTCGCGCTGGGAGGGGCTACAGTGCTTGTTGTTAGAGGAATCGATTTGAAGACATCAGGCGCGTCCGCCTGTCGAATCCAGAGCTCGGAACTCGGTCTGCTGCCCAAATTAAGTCTGCGAACCAACTGTATTGTTCGAATCATCCTGAGCTGTCGGTTTTCTGAACTTAACTCGGGCTGTAGGGGGGCTGCAGGGCTGGTAATGATAGATGTCGATTCGCAGACATCAGACGCGTCCGCCCGTCGCATTCAGAGGTCAAAAAATATTCACTATGAGTCGGAATGTTGGTAGGTGCTGTCGGTTTTCTCAACTGAAGTCGAGCTAGGAAGCTCTACGTGCTGGGAAGTTTGTAGTTTTACATATATATGTGATTATAGAGAATATAATCAGACTGTCCTGGAGGATCCAGGAAATCCTGCAGCCCTTTGTTGCTCGAGGAAAAGAGCGACCCTCACCTCCCCCCTTTCTCCGTGAAGGGGGTGGGTGCACGTGCATGGTAGCGGAGCTCGCTTGAGGTTCGCGGGCCGCTCCGCACCCAGGCGAGCTCCAAGAGCCCCTCGAGAGGGCCCAGCGGCGCGACGCCGCGGGTCCGGCAGCCAGCGGGACGATCCACGCGGCCGCCGAGCAGAGGACCCCTTGCTGGTCAGAGCTGCGGTCAGACCCGCGCTCTGACAGCGGTGGCCAGCCAGCCAACAAGGGCAAGGGCAAGGCCACGCTGAAGGCCAAGAAGCCGAACAAGCGAGGAGGCAGAGCGGCGGACACGCGTGAGCACCGCCAGCTACGAGGGACCGCTTTTAGGAAGCTTGCGGCGTGCGGCAGCAAGGCGAAGCTTACTCAGGAGGAGCGAGCAGCGGTGAAGAGGCAGCTGGCGAGCGACATCGAGAGGCTGGAGAAGCGTGTCACTGACGTGCTCGACACCCAAGATGGAGCAGCAGCTGCAGCAACTGGTCGATCAAGTTCAGAGGCTGACGACGGAGAGTCAGAACATGAGGCAGGAGCTTCAGAACAGGGACGTGCAGATCGCAGAGATGAGAGGACAACTGCAGGGTCAGCAGCAGGCTCAGCAGCAGGCTCAGCAGCAGCGGGTAGCCCCGCGCGGCGAGATGATGGATCCGAAGATCCTTCACAAGGTGAAGCCGTTCGACGGCCAAAGGTCAAGCTGGAAGACGTTCAGCTTCCAGTACAGAGCGTACCTGATCGCCCAGGATCGGAGGTACCGAGATCTTCTGGAAAGGTGCGAGGACGGAGCCCAGGAGGTGGACAACGTCAACCTGGACCCGCAGGAGGAAGAACTCAGCACGCAGTTGTACTACGGCCTGGTCCTGGCCATGCCCGAGGACTCGGTGGGCGAGCTGATCGTGAGGAACAGCCCAGTAGGAGAAGGAGCCGAGTGTTGGAGGAAGCTTCAGAAGGAGTACAACCCGAGCGAGGCAGGCAACGTGCTGGCGATGTGGACCAAGCTCACGGACACGAAGTTCGACACCAAGGAAGACGTGATGGTGAGCATCAGCAAGCTGGACGAGGACATGGCGAGGTACCAGAAGATGGCAGGAGAGCCCGTCTCGGACCTGATCAAGCGCGGCATCCTCACAAAGGCGCTGAAGGATCACGACGAGCTCCAGAAGCACGTGTTTCGGAACAGCAGTCGGTTAAGTACGTACGAGCTTCTGAGAGCCGAGGTGGTGTCGGCGTTGGCGGCAGAGCGAGCGGTTCAGGACGACCCGATGGAGATCGGAGCGCTGAAGGGCGGAAAGAGACCGTGGAAAGGCCGCGGCAAAGGGAAAGACGGAAAAGGCAAGGAGAAGCCACCGAATCCCGACGCCGAGATCGAGTGCCACTACTGCCACAAGACGGGTCACCGCAGCGCAAACTGCCGAAAGCGGATCGCCGACGAGAAGAAGACACCCGAGAAGGACAAGAAGGACAAGAAGCAGTTCCGAAAAGAAAAGGCAAAAGAAAAGAAGAAGATCGGGGCAGCGGCAGTCAGGGAGCTCGAAAGGTTACGACAGACAGGAGTGGGCACAGGATCAAGCTCGACAGCACCGACACAACAGATGCTAGGAAGTCAGGGAAGCGCCGACAGCGCGATGACTCAGCAGGTGCTGCGCCCAGTCAACTGTGCGCTGCGAGCGAAGATGATTCTTGCCCTGAGGGCAGAGGTCACAAGAAGCGCAGCCACACGATCGACTGGAAGTACTGCTTGCCTAGCTACTACCAATATGTGTGCTGCTCTTGCAAGAAGACCTTTGAAGGACGGCGATGGCACTACGATCAGTGGAAGCTGGACTACTGTGCCGTGTGTGCCGAGTACTGCCTGGACGGCCTCAAGGACGGGGAAGAGACAGACGACGACAAGAAGCCAAAGAAGCGCAAGAAAGGCTAGATTCGTCGCTGACGACCGTCAGTGCTGCGATATGCCAGCTGCGGTGAGCCCCGCGCTGGCCGGACCCAGGCCTGTTACCATCGCTGGTCTTCGGCCCGTGGATGAAGATCAGAGCCCTGCGGATGACCGATTGCGGTTAGCCCCGCTTCGGAATGCGATCATGCTCGATTCAGGTGCGCAGATCAGTGCGATACCGAGGTCACAGGTGACCAAGCACAACTACACGCCGACGGACAGCAACGTTGTCGGCTTGAAGGGCATAGGAGGCGAGGAGATCGAGAGGTACGGCCACGTGGAGCTGAACCTATCCCGAGGAGGAGAGGTTATTCAAGTCGGTGCTGAGGTTGCCGATGTGGAGTACCCAGTTGTGGCTACAGACGCTGTAGTACAACGTGGTCAGAGTGTTCTTCATAGCCCTGCAGGTCACTGGATCATCAACGGTACCATCGAGCCACCTGATGGAGCTGAGTTCGTACCTCTACGTCGTCACCAAGGCAACTACTACTTAGAGTACGATCACATCATCGACGGCCAGACTCAACCAGAAGCTTCAAAGGTAGCTGCGGTACGAAAGACACTACCAAGGAAGGTACCAGCTGAACAGGAAGCTGGAGCTTTGCCGAAGGTTCTAGGTCCCGAAGCTGATGAGACCACAACTGTGCCAACGAGAGTGTTGAAGACTCCTCACCAACCTAGTGCTGCGGAGAGAGCCGCGCACGAAGGGCATCATCTACCTTTTCGACCTTGGTGTCCCATCTGCGTGCAGGCTCGAGCAGACGATGACCCCCACCACGCTCAGGAACCAGCTGATGAGAACAAGATCCCGAAGGTGGTGTTCGACATCTTTTACGTAGGGACGGACCAGCTGGCTGCGAAGTACAAGCTTAAAGGAGGTTACTTCAGCATCAGGGAGAAGACGTCGGTCACGAAGGCCGAGTTAGACCAAGCGGTCTCTGTCTTGAATGTTATCGACTGTAAGATCTTGGCTCAGGCGACGTTGTACGCGAACAAGGAGACGGATGACTACAAGGTGTCCTTCCTGCTAGGCGTGCTGGAAGCTTGGGGTCACACAACAGTCATACTTCAGACAGACCAGGAGCCTGCCACCATGGCTCTGGCGCAGGCAGTTCGAGATCGCAGATCACACTCAACCTTGGTGCGGGGATCACCGCCCTTTTCCAAGCAGAGTGCAGGCTACGCTGAAGGAGGTAACAAGCTAGCAGCTGGTCTACTTCGAGCCTACAAGCTGAAGCTGGAGCACAAGCTGGGCAGCGAGATCAAGATGACGGATCCGATCGTGCCATGGCTTGTGAACTCAGTGGGGTGGATGATCACCAGATTCCAGCCTCGCAGTCACGGAGGTTCCTCCTACAAGATGCTCTACGGCAAAGAGTACAACGGCGAGATTGCGGAGATGGGTGAGCAGGTCTGGTATCGGATCTCAGCCCGAGTTGCCGCGGGACGTGGCAAATGGGAAGCCCGCTTCGCAAAAGGAATCTGGGTTGGTAAGAGCGAGCTGGACGACACACATCTCGTGATCGATCCTGAACGTGGAGTGCAGAAGGTGAGAACGGTGCGAAGGATGCCTGAGGAGTTCAGGTGGCAGCCCGAGCTCATCCAGCACATCAGGGTGACGCCCTGGAAGCAGACGCCCGACAAGAGTTCAGGAACGATCGGACGCAGCATGTACATCACGGAGCGCATGATCGATGCTCATGGTCCTACCGACGATTGCAGGAAGTGCAGTACAGGATACGGTTCGCATTCGGCAGCCTGCCGACAGCGTTTCGAGACCATTCAGGCCGACTTGCTGCGCGAGAAGTTGGCGAAGGACCCTGTGGCCCCTGAGGCTACAGTCGTGGTGCCAGCGCCGGCTGCGGGAAGCCCCGCGCCTGGAGCCGCACCCGGAGGAGCAGCGGCATCAAGCAGCAGTGAGGTTGCGGTGAGCCCCGCACCTGCTGCCAGTGACGTAGCTATGGTTCCTGGCCCAGGAGAGGCTGAGGTGCAGACAGCCATGGACACGGAGAGTGGAGAGCTCAGGAGCGACTTTCGGCGAAGCGCCCCAGGTGAAGTTCGTGAAGGAGCTGAGGTCAAGAAGCCCAGGGTAGCAAGCATTGGGCATCTCTCTGTCTGTGAGTTGGCAGTCTGCGAGGAGGGCTACGACGAGAGCTTCGACCCCATGTGGGATCCACACCCAAAGCGCAGTGCGAGATGTTCCGAGAGGTGTGAGAAGCACTCATCACGATGCCAGCTACGAGAATGCCACCAAGCTGAGTGTGCATGCAGGAGATGTTTGATGAGCCACATCGGCACAATCAGGAGCCACTTCGGAGATCCTGAGGAGCAGCAGGTGGAGCAGATGGTTGAGGTGAGCGCCGAGCTGCATGAGAAAGACCAGTGGAGCCCAAAGACGATACACTACGATTACTACACTGGAGAGCCTCTGGATGAGGACCTGTATCAGAAGGGTCGCGACGACGAGCTGCAGGCCATGAAGGACTATGGGGTCTACGTGGAAGTGGCGACATCGACGGCGACCGACGGCAAGCACATTGGAGGGTTCCCGATAGCCCACATGAAAGAAGGAAAGGTCAGGTGGAGGTTCGTAGCAACCGAGGTGAACAAGTACGAGGTCAGGGAGGACAACCACCAAGGCACGCCCCCGCTCATGATCGTCAGAGCGACGCTGAGCCGTGCCGCTTCAAGTCCAACTTCCAGCGGGCAGCACCTGCGGAAGATACAAGTCTGGGACGTCAGGAAGGCTTTCTTCAACGCTGACTTAGACGAGACGATCTACGTGCATCCTGGGAGAGAGCTGTGTCCGCCTGGAAGGTGCTGGTGGTTACGCAAGGCCATGAACGGTACCAGGAAGGCGTCGCAGATGTGGGGTGAGCTTGTGAGAACTACTATGGACGACGGCCATTGGGAATGCTTGGTTGGAACTCCTAACGTGTTCTACTTACCTGCTAGCCCCAACACAGCCCCCTTCGACGAGGATAGCACAGCGATCTGCCATGGCGATGACTTTCTTGCTGAAGGCTACGACGAGCAGCTGGACGAGCTGGACGAGTTGTTGAAGCAGCAGTTTGAGGTCACGGCCAGCGCCAGACTTGGACCAGGAGCGGTGGGGCAGACTACATACCTCAAGAGGACGATCGGCTACACCGACAAGTTGCCAGGTTGCGAGGAGCCAGGTTTCTTCTGGACTGCCGATCCCAAGCATGTGGACTTCATGATCAAGTGGACGCAGAAGCGAGGTTGTAAACCAGCTCCCACTCCAGGGACGAAAGCTACAGGACAAGGCCGACGAGACAGCCTAGACCTTCTTTCCAAGGATCGTGCTCGAGAAGTGGCGGGTGCAGCTGGCACCGCTCTTTACCTTTCTTCGGACAGGCCCGACACGATGTACGCCAGCAAGACAGCGATGCAGCACGTCTCCAACCCGAACGTCTTGATGCATGCGCGTGTTCAGCGACTTGGAAGGTACTACGAAGGACAGCCTGTGTTGGTCTGGTGTTACCCACTTCAAGGTACTCCTGAAGGCATTCGTGTAGATGGTGACGCAGATTGGGCACCTACGAGTGAACTACAGCGGCGATCTACCAGTGGAGGAGCTGTGAGGTATGGTGATCACACTTGGGACTGCTACTCAGTGACGCAGAGTACGATAGCCCTAAGTTCAGGGGAATCCGAGATGTACGCTACGGGAAGTGCGACAGCCAGAGGACTTCAGTGTAAGACGTACCTGATCGAGACCCAGAGGCCCTGCAACCTGAAGATCTATAGTGACAGCACAGCTGGACGTGGCATGTGCAGTCGAGTTGGGGTGGGCAAGGTCAGGCACCTGGAGTTGAGGTACTTGTGGATTCAGGAGCGGTTGCGTCTCAAGGCGTTCGAGCTGCACAAGGAGGACACCAGCAAGATGACAGCCGACATGCTCACGAAGTACAGCGAGTGGCCGACAATCGAGAAGCATTGCACCACTCTCAACCTCAGGTTCGGAAAGCAGTTGAAGGGCTTGAGCGCAATGGCAGTTTTCACGGAGGTCGTGACGCAGGCGTCAGGCGAGAAGGTGACAGTGTACGGAGGTTCTGACGAGGTTGCGGTTTGCCCCGCGCCTGTCAGCCACTACGTGGACAGCGAGGAGTTCTGGTTCTTCCTGAAGTTGGGACTAGTTGTGGTGACTGCAGCCAGTGCTTTCTTACTGGGGTGCTGGTGTGGTTGTTACTTCAAGGACTTCTACGACAAGTTCCTCCTCCAGGGTGCGGTTGACCCCGCCTCTGGAAGCACGTGTATACCATCTGCGCGGGCTGAGGCCGAGTTCAAGACCGTGTGTGTACAGCAGGACAAAGGAGCAAGGCACAAGCTCTTAAGCACGTTTCTTGTAGCTGAGCTGCGAGCTGTCTTGAAGGCCAAGAGCCTGGCCGTGTCAGGGATCAAGGAGGACCTGGTCACGAGGATGATCAAGCACGGATGCGTTCTGTCGGATCGCCAGGCCAAGGAGATCGAGCAGCTGCGAGTGATGGCTACAGCGCGAGGACCTCTTACCAAGCTCAGCTTGCAGGACATCAGCAGTCCAGAGGCCGCGCAGAAGTGGATCGAGACGTTCAAGAGCGAGTGCGGAGACCGTTCCAGAGGCTCTCAGGTGATCCACGGAGAGGGCTAGGAGAATGGTCGCAGGAAGCACTACGACAGCCGAAGGTGAGCTTTCTTTTACAGGCTGCGGTTTGCCCCGCGCCTGCCCTCTGCGGGTAGCCCCGCGATGGGCTTAGGCGGGCAGCGCCGTTGCGAAGCCTGCTCAGGGAGCACAAAGTGGTTTCCCTGTGGCTCACGTTTCTCGACTGGAGGCCGAGCCGCTTCCAGCGCCCAAGGAGAGGTGCTGGGAAGTTTGTAGTTTTACATATATATGTGATTATAGAGAATATAATCAGACTGTCCTGGAGGATCCAGGAAATCCTGCAGCCCTTTGTTGCTCGAGGAAAAGAGCGACCCTCACCTCCCCCCTTTCTCCGTGAAGGGGGTGGGTGCACGTGCACTACGAGTCTCCCGGCGGTAACCAAGGTTGACGGTTTACCGCCGGCGCCCAGTTCCGGAGCGCTGGAGAGCTAGTTGGCTCGAAAAATCTCGACAGACCTTTTGATGTCTTTTGGTCAGTTCAAAAATTTGTTCTCGAAATTCAACAATTCGTTTGAGCTCTAGTATTTTTTCCCGTGATATTCGATCTTATTCCCGCTCGCCATCTTGATCTCAGCTCGATCGGGTACCTTTTACTGCCAAAAAGCGTCCCGGCGGGATCGGCTGTAACTTGTAGAGCTTCCCTTAGCAAGTTATTGCTGGAAGCTTAAGAGTAATTCCAGAGCGCTGGAGAGCTAGTTGGCAAGAAAAATCTCGACGGACCTTTTGGTGACTTTTGGTCGGTTGAAAAATTTGTTCTCGAAATTCAACTATTCGTTTGAGCTCTAGTATTTTCCCGTGATATTCGATCTTATTCCCGCTCGCCATCTTGATCTCAGCTCGATCGGGTACCTTTTACTGCCAAAAAGCGTCCCGGCGGGATCGGTTGTTTCGAGTTATCTTCATACGCGGTGTCGGTATTTTCTACTTAACTCGAGCTGTAGGGCAGCTACAGTGCTGGTAAGCACACCTATCGCACTCAGAATCATCAGGCGCGTTCGCCCGTTGAATCCATAGGTCTGAACTCGGTCTGCTAGCCGAGCTAGGTCCGCAAACCTATTCGTATTATTCGAGTCAAGTTGATACGCGTTGTCGGTATTTTCTACTTAACTCGAGCTGTAGGGCAGCTACAGTGCTGGTAAGCACACCTATCGCTCTCAGAATCATCAGGCGCGTTCGCCTGTTGAATCTATAGGTCTGAACTCGGTCTGCTAGCCGAGCTAGGTCCGCAAACCTATTCGTATTATTCGAGTCAATTTGATACGCGTGGTGGGTATTTTGTACTTAATTCGAGCTCCAGGGCAGCTACAGAGCTGGTAAGCACATCTATCGCATTCAGAATCATCAGGCGCGTTCGGCTCTTGACTCCAGAGGTCTGAACTCGCTCTGCTAGCCGAGCTAGGCCGCAAATCTATTCGTATTATTCGAGTCATCTTGATACGCGTTGTCGGTATTTTCTACTTAACTCGAGCTGTAGGGCAGCTACAGTGCTGGTAAGCACACCTATCGCACTCAGAATCATCAGGCGCATTCTTCTATTGAATCCATAGGTCTCGGTTTTCTGTATTTAACTCGAGCTGTAGGGCAGCTACAGAGCCTATAGTCACAGAAATCGATTTTGAATTATCGGGCGCGTTTGTCTGTTGTATCGAGAGCTCTGAACTCGGCCTGCTGCCCGAGCTAGGTTCGCGAAGCTATTCGTATTGTCCGAATCATCGTGAAAAGTGCTCTAAATTTTCTGGACTCAACTCGTGCTGGGGGAGGGCCACAGTGCTGCGGGTCATAGAAATCTATTTGCACACATCAGGCGCGTTCGTTGGTCGATTCGAGAGCTCAGAACTTGGTCTGCTGCTCGAAACAGGTCCGCGAAACTGTTGTATTATTCGAGTCATCCTGAGAGATGCTGTCGGTTTTCTGCACTTAACTCGGGCTGTAGGGGGGCTGCATGGGCTGGTAATCACATGAGTCGATTCCCAGACATCAGACGCGTCCGCCTGTCGCATTGAAAGGTCTGAACTCGGTCTGATTCTCGAACTGGGTTGCGTTTTTTTTTTTTTTTTTTTTTTTTTTTTTTTTTTTTTTTTTTTTTTTTTTTTTTATATATATAAAAAAAGAGTCATCTTGAGAGGTCTGAAATCGCTTGGGCTGAAAACTAGTCGTTCTCTGGATTTTTCCCACACTATATACTTTCAGGAAGCTCTACGAGTCCCCCGGCGGTAAGAAAGGTTGACGGTTTACCGCCGGCGCCCAGTTTCGAGTCACCTTGATACGCGTTGTCGGTATTTTCTACTTAACTCGAGCTGTAGGGCAGCTACAGTGCTGGTAAGCACACCTATCGCACTCAGAATCATCAGGCGCGTTCGCCTGTTGAATCCATAGGTCTGAACTCGGTCTGCTAGCCGAGCTAGGTCCGCAAACCTATTCGTATTATTCGAGTCAACTTGATACGCGTTGTCGGTATTTTCTACTTAACTCGAGCTGTAGGGCAGCTACAGTGCTGATAAGCACACCTATCGCACTCAGAATCATCAGGCGCGTTCGCCTGTTGAATTCATAGGTCTGAACTCGGTCTGCTAGCCGAGCTAGGTCCGCAAACCTATTCGTATTATTCGAGTCAACTTGATACGCGTGGTGGGTATTTTGTACTTAATTCGAGCTGCAGGGCAGCTACAGAGCTGGTCAGTACATCCATCGCATTCAGAATCATCAGGCGCATTCGCTTCTTGACTCCAGAGGTCTGAACTCGGTCTGCTAGGCGAGCTAGGTCCGCAAATCTATTCGTATTATTCGAGTCATCTTGATAAACGCTCTCGGTTTTCTGTACTTAACTCGAGCTGTAGGGCAGCTACAGAGCCTATAGTCACAGAAATCGATTGGGAATTATCGGGCGCGTTTGTCTGAAAACTAGTCGTTCTCTGGATTTTTTCCCACGCTATATACTGTCAGGAAGCTCTACGAGTCCCCCGGCGGTAAGATAGGTTGACGGTTTACCGCCGGCGCCCAGTTTTGCAAGTATTTGAAAGATAGCTAGAGGAATTTGGGCGCGGGCTGAGCTAGATGGCCAACCTGGCCGCGACGGACAATGTGCGAACTTTGGGTCGGTTGGACCAACTTTGTGAGAGATTTGAACATTCGTTTTAAGAACCGGTATTTTTCGCACCTCAAGTGGGTTTTGTCGCGTCCGGCAATTAATACCTCGTAGAGCTCTTCGGCATCGATGAGCTAGAGGAATTCCGGCGCGGGGTGGAGCTAGTTGGTCGACCCGGCCAGAAAGGACAAAGTGATAACTTTTGGGTGGTTTTGCATTTTTTTGAAAGGTATTTGACAATTCATTTTGAGAAAGCAGATTTTTCGCACCTGTAAACGACTAGGAGGGCTTCTCTGTCTTAGTATGAGCTCGGTAGGCGCACTTTTACTATCAAAACACTTGGCGGAACCATCTTCATGTCGACACGAAAAAAAACAATTTTTCTTTTTTTCGAGAAATGCTTCCAGAAGCTCTCTCTCTCGACTCCGAGCACTCTCACGCGTGGAATGAGCTCTACGAGGTTCCCGGCGGTGACCAGGTTGACGGTTCACCGCCGGCGCCAGTTCCGAGGTCTGTAGCTAAAGAGTTACTATCAAAACACTTGGCGGAACCGTCGTTCGGTGACAAGTAAAACACTTAATTTTTCGCGGTTCAGCTCGCGTATCAGAAAAGCTTCTGCCAAGCAGCGCCGCGCGAGAAACAAGCTCTACGAGGCTCGCGACGGTAAGCTGGTTGACGGTTTACCGCCAGCTCCCAGTTTTGCAAATATTTGAAAGAGATTTGACAATTTATTTTAAGAAAGCAGATTCTTCGCACCTGTAGACTTTGAGGGCCTCTGCGTCTTAATATGAGCGCTGAAGGCGAACTTTAACTATCAAAACACTTGGCGGAACAAACTTTCTGTCGACATGAAAAATTGAAGATTCAATTGTTCGAGAAATGCCTCGCGAAGCTCTCTCCTTCGACTCTTAGCACTCTTACGCGTGAATAGAGCTCTACGAGGTTCCCGACGGAGACTAGGTTGACGGTTCACCGCCGGCGCCAGTGCTCTCCGGGTTTTGGATGCAACCAAGTTGGTGACTTGTGGTCGGTTTTGCAAGAATTTGAAAGATATTCGAACATTTGTTTTTTAAAAAAGCAGATAAAATCCTCTCTAACAGCAGCTCAGCGCTTTCGATGCATTCTTGCATGAGTTGACTTCCGGGAAGTGAGCGAATATGAACATCTAAAAAATCGAGAATTAAGATTTTCGAGAAATCAGTGGAAGGAGCTCTACGAGGTTCCCGGCGGTGACTAGATTGACGGTTCACCGCCGGCGCCAGTCTCGAGGGAACTTTTGCTGACTTTTGGTCGTTTGAAAGTTTTGTTCTCAAAAGTCAACCGTTCGTTAGAGCTCTAGTATTTTTTCCCGTGATATTTGATCTGATTCCCGCTCGCCATCTTGATCTCAGCTCGATCGGCTGAATATTACTATCGAAAAGCACGGTGGCAGGATCGGCCGTTTCGAGTCATCTCGATACGCGCTGACGGTTTTCTGAACATAACTTGAGCTTTAGAACAGCGCGTTCGCCTGTTGAATCCAGAGGTCTGAACTCGGTCTCTGAGCCGAGGTAGGTGCGCAAACCTGTTCGTATTATTCGAGTCATCATGACAGGAACTCTCGTTTTTCTGTGCTTAACTCGAGCTGTATGACAGACACAGAGCTGAAATTTACAAAAACTGATTCAGAATCATGAGTTACGTTTGTCTGTCGAATCCAGAGCTCTGAACTCGGTCTTATGCCCGATCAAGAGCTGCGAAACTGTTTGTATTGGTCGAGTCATCTTGAGAAGTGCTCTGTTTTCTTCACTCAACTCGCGCTGAGAGGGGCTACAGTGCTGCTGGTCGCAGAAATCGATTTGAAGACATCAGGCGCGTCCGTCTGTCGAATCAAGAGCTCGGAACTCGGTGTGCTGCCCGACTTA